GATGAATGAGACTTCATCGAAACGTTGCCTAGATACTTCGAATCTTACGCGGGAGAAAACCCGAACAACCAAAGATCGATCTATCTATCTATCTATCTATCTATCTATTAATTAATTAATTCAGGTAATCTGTGATGTGAAATTGCATTGATCAAAATGACCATATATACATAAACATAGTAACATAAGCAAGTATCAGTTGGGATGAAGGAAGAAATTATGGTTCAGGTGTGGTTAACAAGAAAAGCTGTAGACAAAGAGATAATTGTATTAGATTGTATTGACAAAAAGACACATTTTCTCACTGAGACCCTGATCTGAATTTGTATTTCATCAGGTGTAAAGTAAGTCTGTTAGTATTAATGAACTTTGGTCCACTAAATTTAAATTTAAAGTGATGGTTTTAAAATGCTGAAGTTCTTTCCTAAAGAGCCACCAAACATGTGTATTCTAAAAGTGTACATACAATTTAAGGGGATGAGAGTCAAGCCTGATGGAGCTCCTAGTTATCATGCCTGAACTGAAAGTGACCTGGAATATACGCAACATTCTTTCACAATTTCTCAAGAAGGTAATTGAGGGCATACTATTTTTCAGGGAACTTTGTGCATCATAATCAAGATCACAGAAAAAAAACCTCTGATGAGATCCTAAAGTTCCCTTTATAGCATATTTCTTTGGTATAATTATTATGCTATATCTATTTGCATAATAGTGCCCTTAGCAGAGACTTCCCAGTATCAAGAGATAGATCTAGATGCCACTTTGAATTCTAGAACCAATGGTGGAATATCAATCTCATGAACAAATAAATAAATAAATAAATAATGTTTGTTGGCTGTTGTGTATAAGGTACAATACAAGGTATTTGTTATCTTTTATTAAAGTATATTATTGTATCTTGCTATCCTGTTGAGAAAAACAGTGTGTGTGTGTGTGTGTGTGTGTGTGTGTGTGTGTTTCTGTAGACACAATCCAATTTGTAATATTGTAAGACAAATATTTATACATACATGTTCATCAGGTAAAAGGACACCTTTGAGTTGGATGTATAAACTGCTCCTTGAGTTGGATGTATAAACTGCTCCTCCACTTACATCCCTTATATTCAAGTCTCTAATAAGGTTTATGTACCAAATTATTGGGCATACATCAACATCTGTCAGGGAATGTAAAGGTGAAATTTCCTTTCTTTGTCTTACTTAAAGTAATCCTATCTCCTTCTTGTACTGTGAGATCAGTATGTGTCAGCTGGATCTCCAGTCTGGATTTTCCCTTTGATGCTTGTTTGCTATTGGCTACCATAGTAATGGGGGGCATGGCATTGGAGTTTGGGAAGTGTGCTAGTGTGAGAAATGCCCATGTGAACTAAAAGGGAGGCTCGCTCTCAAGAATTACTATGCTGCTGTCTGGAGTTGTTTACGCCCAGTCAAGGCCAAGCATCCTAGAATTCCATATGGACAAAAACACCTGAAGGTGGGTTGTGGATTGGACATTCATCCTGGGTCCCTGGGGAGAGGGATTTGGGGAAACTTTCAATATGTAATTTTCATGCCTTTTGGCTCAGATTTTGCTTTCCTTTTGCTGCTATCATTTTAAACTCAGTAAAAGTAACTTTTATCTATCTCAATGTAGTTCGGGGGTTTCTTTCTTGGGTTTTGAATAGAGGCAGTCCTGACATTAAGCAAGATCTGCTTTATCAGCCAACCCAGAGACCTAGTCCACCAAGGAGGCTGAACACACAATGTCAACCCATGGGAGCAATCAGGAAGACCCCCCTCCACTCCATTTTTTTTGCCTCTTGGGCCTCAGGGAAGCCTCCTGGGCAAAGCAGTAAGTCAGTGGGGGGATTCCGGTACAGCTGATTGTCAGAACAGCTGATCTTTGGGAGGAAGAAAAAAAAGAAATACCATAAGGAGTGACTGGGGGGGACAGGGTGGGCAGGGAGAATGCAGTCAGCAATGCATGTGATGTCGCACATGCATGATAAGGACTGACTGGGCAGGGAGGAGAGGAAAGGGCTGAGAGGGGCAGGGCCAACTAGGAGCACGATTTGTCAGTTCTCTGAACTGGGCAGAATCATAACAACCAGTTCTACAGAACCAGTCCGAACTGGTAGAATAGCATCCCTGCCAACCATCCTAGAACTCCAGATGAATGAAAACACCTGAAGATGTGCCTCACATGACACTATGTGAGTTGTGGATTGCACATTCATCCTGGGTCCCTGCGGGGAGGGATTTGGGGAAACTTTAATATGTAATTTCCATGCCTTTTGACTTAGATCTTGCTTTTCTTTTGCTGCTATCATTTCAAACTCAGTAAAAATACCTTTTTTCTATCTCAGTGGAGTTGGGGGTTTTCTTTCTTGGGTTTTGAATGGAAGCAGGCCTGACAGTATGGCTGTTTGGGTCATTGTGGCACAGAATTGTGTTAGTCCTGAAATGTGGGAACTGAGGACTTTACTGTATAGTATCGCATCACTATCATATAACAACCCATAAATTAGAGATAGATGCAGTTCATGGCAAGCATTTGTGGCATAGTCAAAAAGGTTCCATTTATTATTTTGTAAACAGAGCCGAAAAATACGTAAGAAAGCAAAATGATATAATAGTCTGAAGATATATATGACAACTAATGGATAAAGCAAAAAAGGAAGCTTTGATTAAAAAGCCCTAGAAGTTTAGAAATAATTGAAAAATCATAGTCCATAATAAATTAATGTTGTCTCCTTCCAGTTTAATTCATGGGGGGAACTCAAAGGAAAGTTGTGTTAAAATGCTGAAACTGCTGTGGCCAACTTATACTAAGTGAAATTTCCATAAAAATCTTATTCATAAAGCTAATAGTTTTTTTCCCTCATTGAAATAAGTAGAAACTCAACAGTATGAATCCCCTGATCTAAAAGGCAGTAGCCTTTTAGAGAGTTGACATTCAATTCCTATAATCCTTTTTTTTTTTGTAAAGTTTTATTAATTTACAAAAAACAATACACAAACAAAACATAAGACATAAGAACATAAAACATCTTTTTCAACAACTACTTAAGAAAAACAAATAAAACATCTCATTTGAATATAATATAATTCTAAATTATCACATTTCAACACATAACTTAATAAGCATCTTATATATTCAACTTCATATCTTATTACTGTTTTCCACCTTCTTACTATTTCTTCCTTTATTTCTATTCAGTTTTATTCATTCATATATTTCATCTTACTATATTTCATATTGTTACTATTTCATATGTTCTTATCCGATATTACTCCTCAAAAAACAAATATAAACTAACAAACACATAACATAGAAAAAAGTATAAAACTTCTTTTTAGAAAGCGGCTTAACCCCGGGTTTTAACTTTTGATACAGACTTAAATTAAATTCATGCTCAGCTTATATACTATTTCATATCCTATTAAAGATTCTACATTTTACGGATATCTTCTCCCCTTTTTTCACTCTCTTAATTCTACTTTATTTATTTAATCTCAATTTAAATCATTTCACTTGTATTTTTTGTCCGTTCTTTTTCAATCATCCATTTATCTTTCTCTTAAACACAATCTTGTCCCTGTAATAACTGGTTGAAGTATGACACCTTTCTATTTTCCCCCCAAATTCAACGCTTAAAATTAAACATTATTTCTATTCTGATTCTGCTTAGTACATTCTAAATACCATTTAAAGAAAAAAAAAACAACGTAATATTCTTATAAATATTAAAAATAGTATTCCCTAACAAATTAGTTAAATACACATCAATTACACAATCCCTACAATATTTTATTGACACATATTTCAAATACAAATATAAAATGCAATCTTGTGTACCTTTGCAGAATCTCTATTAAAACTTTATTTTACCCTTTATCTCTGAAAAAAATGTTGCTTATAAACAAAACAAACAACATCTTGTTTAAATTCCTTATAACTTCCCTTTGCTTTGTCTCTTCCTTCCTTATCAAATCTAGCCTTTTTACCCCCCCCACTCTCAATCTCCCACTTTTTAATCTCCCCTCTCTGTTGCATTCCTTTTTTCCATTGCTTTCTATCATTATATCGATTTTTCACCTTTCTTTTCCCTTTCTTAATTGTTTTTTTAGAGCTTAAATTCTTGATTTTCTTCTCCTTTTTACCCTTTTTTGAAATCATATGTCCATTCAAGATGGGTTCTTCTTCATCGTCCCAGCCTCTTTCTTGTTGCATTTCCTGGTAAGCACAAATTGCCATTTCTAAAAAGCCAAAAATAGATCCAAGAGAGCCATCTTCCCCCTGAAGTTTTTCAAACTGCATCTTCAATTCTTCAAAGGACACCATTATGAGCAGAAAAGGATTTTTTTTAAAGTTTTTTATTGTTTTTTGACATACAAACAAACAGACAAAACATAAAAACATCAGCTCCCCCATATTTATATACAAACAGTGAGTCGGTTGGTTCATCAGTTTTGTACACTCCTCTCATAGTCACAATTACAACTACCTTGTATAATAACTCTTATTGTCAATACAAACTTATAAATCATAATATCACTATTAAAAAAAGAAATTTGACTAAACTTTTGTTCGATCATGCCTTTGTGAGATAACTATATTTTAAGTAATTTATTCTAAAACAAATCATATAATCGTGCCAATTCTATCCTAAATAAGAGAAAAAAAGGAAACAGAAAACTATTATATAAATATAATATCCAGTACCAAAAAAGAGAAAAGAAAAATAAAATCAACATTATTCCTTATTGTCTAACATTTCTATTCTATTTCATTCAACCATTGATAGAAAAGATCCCAAACTATATAAAATTGTTTATCTTCTTGCTCTCTGATTTCAAAAGTCAATCTACTCATCTCAGCACATTCCAATATTTTCTTTATGACTTCTTCCTGCAATGGAATTTTCTCATTTTTCCAATTTTTTGCAAATACAATCCTAGCCGCAGTCAATACATTTACAATCAAATATTTCAACTCTTTACTATAGACATCTGGTAAGATTCCCAATAAAAAAAGCTCCGGTTTCAAGTCTATGTGCTTCTTTGTCATTTTTTCCAACCACATGTGGATTTTAGTCCAATATTTTCTAGCGTCCTCACAAGTCCACCACATATGGTAGTATGAACCAGGTTTCTGATGACATTTCCAGCATTTTTCGGATTTGTTCTTGAACATTCTTGCTATCCTTGTCGGGGGGAAATGCCACCTGTAAAACATCTTATACAAATTTTCTTTAAAGGCTGTAGACATTGTCATTTTATAATTTTGCAACCATAATTTCTGCCATTTCTCTAAGTCAATCCCATATCCAAAATTCCTCCCCCAAGCAATCATAGTTTCTTTAACTTGTTCTTCCTCCAGCTTAATTTCCAATAAGTAACCATATAATTTTTTAATCACCTTTTCATCAGTACCCATCAAAATCTTATCTAAATCAGTTTGTTTATCATAAAATCCCTCTGCTTTGGAATCCTCATAATACTTCGAATGTATTTGCAGATATGAAAACCAATTCATCTGTATACCTTGTTCCTCTAATTTTTGCATCGATTTAAGTTCACCCTTTTCATCTAGTAATTCCCCATAGCTAACTGTTTGTTCCTTTTTATAGATTATAGGATAAGAAAACGCTTCTATCGTCGATAACCAAACTGGAATTTTCAAATAACATTGTTTTCTTGTCTTCTCCCAATTTAACCACAGAGACTCCCGTATATAATGTCTTCTAAAATACCCCTGTGTTTTGGTTCCCTTATACCATAAAAAAGCATGCCAACCCAACAACAAATCATGACCTTCTAATGTCAACAATCTAGTTTTCCTTAATGTTATCCATTCTTTAACCCACATCAAGTTTGCAGCTTGATAGTACAACTCCCAATTAGGCAGGCCAAACCCTCCTCTAAATCTAGCATCCTGTAAAAGCTTTAACTTTATCCTTGCTTTCTTGCCTTGCCATATATACTTCAAAACAATTTTATTTAAATCCTCAAAATATTCTTTTCCAAGCCTAATTGGTATTGTTTGAAACAAAAATAAAATTCTGGGTAGAATGTTCATCTTAATTGTTGAAATCCTTCCTATTAATGACAATTGTAGGTTTTCCCATTTTTTCAAGTCTTGGGCTATCTGTTGTTTAAGTTTAATATAATTGTTCTCCTTTAATGTACTACATCTCGACGTCAAGTATATCCCCAAATACTTAACCTTATTTGTAACTTGAATTTTTAACAATTCTGCCAGTTCTTCTCTTTGTCTCAGCAACATATTCTTTGACAAAATCTTTGTTTTATCTTTGTTTATTTTCAGACCGGCCACCTCCCCATGTGCCTCTATCTTTTCCAACAGCTTCAAGGCTGTTTCTATAGGATCTTCCAGGATAAAGACTAGGTCGTCTGCAAAAGCTTGTAATTTAAATTCTTCCTTTTTAATTTTCATTCCTTTTATAGTTTTATCTTCTCTGATATTTCTATTCAACACTTCCAAAGTCAATACAAATAACAAGGGAGAAAGAGGGCAACCTTGTCTTGTGCCTTTTCTTATATTAATAGGATCTGTGAGTTCTCCCTCCATCATTACCTTAGCTGTTTGTTCATTGTAAATTGCTTCTATTGCTTGAATAAATCTTCTAGCAAAGCCCATCTGTTCCATTAAAAGTAACATAAATCTCCAATTTACGTTATCAAATGCCTTTTGAGCATCTAAAAATATCAAAGCCATTTGTTTTTCAGGATGGGCCTCATAATATTCCAAGGTGTCCAGAATTACTCTCATATTGTCTCTAATCTGTCGCTTTGGCAAAAATCCATTTTGATCTGAGTGGATAAAGTTATTCAGATATTTTTTAAGTCTTTCTGCTAAAATTGAAGCAAAAATTTTATAATCTGCATTTAATAAGGAAATCGGTCTATAATTCTTGATTTGAAGTAAATCCGCCTCCTCTTTTGGAATAAGTGTAATATAAGCCTCTGACCATGTTTTAGGTATTATCTTTTTTAACATAACTTAATTCATAACTTCTAGCAGTGAAATACACAATGATTCTTGAAAGGTTTTATAAAATTCTACAGGAAACCCATCTGGACCTGGTGCCTTTCCATTATTTTGTTTCTTAAGTGCTTGGCTTAACTCCATCATTGTTATATTGCTTCCTAACATTTCTTCAATCTCTTTAGGTATCTTAGGTAAATTTGCATTCTGCAAGTATTGTTTAACTTTCTCCTCATCAATATCTTCTTTCTTATACAGATGTTTGTAGAAGTCATAAATAATTTCTTTTTTCTCTTTGCTGCCATGACAAGTTTTACCTTGGTCATCTATTAACTGCAATATTTTCCTTGACTCTTTCTCCTTTCTCAGCTTATATGCTAACCATCTACCTGGCTTATTTGCATCTTCAAAGTAATTCTGTTTAGCACTCCTAATTTTCTGTGCCAGTTCTTCTTTGTCTATTAAGTCCATTTTATGTTTAATTATATCCAATTTCAATTTAACATCTTTTTTCTGTGGCATTTTCTGCAGTTCTTTTTCGAGTCCTTTATATTCATCCTCCAAGGCTTTAAAAGCTTGCCTTTTCCTAATATTCTTTTTTCTTGTATAGTCTATTATCAAGCCTCTGGCATAAGCCTTCATTGTATCCCAACATTCTGTATTGAAGTGTCTTCTTTTCTATTTTCTTTAAAGAAAAAGGCCAGTTCTTTCTCCATCCACTGTGTAAATTCTTTCTCCTTTAAAATAGTATTGTTTAACGTCCATCTCGATCTTTTTTTTTTGTCCCTTCCATTTAATTGTCAATGGATTATGATCCGCCCAAGTACTTGTTTCAATATTTACTTCTTGAACGCTAGATATTAAGTCTGTTGAAATCCAAATCATATCAAGTCTGGACCATGATAAATGTCTATTTGAATAGAAAGTATATTGCTTAAGTTTAACATTTCTTTCTCTCCATATGTCTTTTAGAGTTAATTCCTCTGTCATTTTAAAAAAGGATTTAGGAAGAGTTTTTCTATTATACTTTGCTGCTGTTGCAATATAGTCAAGTTTATTATCCACAATTCCATTAAAGTCTCCCATCATAATTATATTAGCATAGTCCAGTCCAGCCATCTTGGTATGTTATTTTTTATAGAATTCTTCCTGTTTGTCATTCGAGGCATAAATTGCAATCAAAAGTATCTTTCTATTATTGTCCATTATTTCCACCATTAATATTCTCCCATCATCATCTGTATAAATCATTTTTGCTGGAATAACCTCTTTAATATATAAGACCACCCCTCTTTTCTTACATTGAGTCAAAGAGGTAAACAATTTCCCTAATTTTGGTTGTAATAACAATTGTTCATGTTGATTTTTAATATGTACTTCTTGTAGACAAATTATATCAAACTTTAGTTTCTTTAATTTATGGAAAATCTTCCTTCTCTTAGCAGCTGAATTCAGTCCATTTATATTCATTGTAATCAGTTTTTTCTCTTCCATGATTATATTTTATATTTAGATTTAACCACTCTCGTGGGTCTTGATTCACGCTGATCTTTAATATCCACTTGTCCGCCTACTGCACCTTCTTCTTTTCCAATCTCCACTTGTTCCTCTTGGGATTCAGTTAATGGGACCTCCTTTTCTGCCTCTCCTTCTCTCTCTCCAAAGACTTCTGCGTAGAACAGTTCTGCTTTCTCGATTGAATCAATTCTATGCCTCTGTTCCTGCCACGTAAACATCGATCCTTCTGGGATCAGCCATCTGTAAGTCACCTCTTTTTTCAATAACATTTTGGTCAGGAATCGATATTCTCTTCTCATCTCTCTCACTCTTCTAGGTATTTGTTTTAAAACCAAGATTTCTTTACCTTTGTATTTCAATATCTTCTCTCTTGCCACTTGTAAAATTTGTGTCTTCATGGATTTTTTAGTAAATCTAATATGGACTTCTCTGGGCAGATTATTTCTCATCGCATATCTTGTAAAAACTCGATATATCTCATCTATTCCATCCATCATCTTCTCTTCTGTTATCTCCAATGCATCCGCCAAGATTCCTACCATTATCGCAGCCAAATCTTGTCCTTTTTCTTCTTCTATATTTTGAAATCTAAGATAGAATTCTGATCTATCCAACTCCCACTTCAACATCCCACTTTTTTCTTGTTCAATCACTGTTAGTCTATTATCAATATTTCCAATCTTCTCCTCTCTTCGTTTGCCCCCTTCTTCGACTTTTTGAAGTCTCTCCTCATATTTTGTCATCATCTGTTGAATACTTTCCACTTTTTCCTCCGTCCTCCCTGTTCTTTGTTCAATGGTATCTATTTTTACCTTAAGATCTTGAATTCCTTGCATAATCGTCTGAAAAGATGCTCTTTCTTGTTCTTTTTCTTTATCTTGCTTTAACATTGTCTGAATTGAACGCTGTCCAGATGGTGGGGAGGCAGAGGTAGACATAGAGGCACCCGAAGATATAAGTTTCTTACTCATTTTAAATGGTTCCAACTCTTCAAATTCTTTCAAATTTTAATCCAAAAAAAGTAGCCAATTATAATCCAAAATGAAAAGGCCAATAATAAAAAAGAATCAATAATGAGAGAAAAAGAAGAAAAACATGAAAAAGAAAAAGGAAAAGAGCAAAAAGAAAAAATTCTTCAAATTCTTCCTAACCTTAATCCAATTAAAAAAAAATAGTCCACAAAAGAGCATAAAAATAAAAATAAAAACCCAGTAAAAATAATAATAAACAAAGTCAAAGCCAAAAAGAAGGAAAAGAGAAAAAGAGAGGAAAAACAAAACAAAAAACAAGAGGAATAAATTTCTTCAAATTCCACACCTTAATCCAGCCAAAAAAGAAAGAAAAAAACCTCAATTGAAAAAAGAAAAAAGAAATAGTCCATTGATATGCATTAAAAAAGAAAAAGCAGAATCCAAATAAAAAGGAGGAAAAATAAAGTAAAATAAGTCAAAATAAAGTAAAAATAGAAAAAATTCAGAGGCTTCCCTTTGAAAATAAATCAAACTTAAAAATAAAAATAAAGACCTTAATGCTGGTGGAGGGGGTGGCGGAACTAAAAAAAAGAATTAGAGAAAGAAAGTAAACAGCAATACACTGCACTCTATTTAATTGTCCAAGGCTCTAATTATGACTCCCTTCTCTTTCCCACAAGCTTCAAGGCTAAGCCATAAATATCCAGAAAGACACCTGTAATAATATTCTACAAAGCGCTTTCCTCTATCTTATCAGAAGATGTCCTTGGGGAGAAGTATTTCGTCTTTTCACAGTTCAAGTAAAATGTTTCCAAGCCTCTAGTTGGCAGTGTTACAAAGTTTCTTAGTTCTCACTTTCCCCCCTCCTCTCTGAACAGCATAAAAAAGAAAAGAAAAGCCGGCAAGGAATACACAAACATATAAAAGCAAAAAAAAATAAATAAATAAACAAAGGGAGCCTCTAGCCTAAAAATGAAAAATCCAAAGGAAGAATACAACATATAAATATAAAAAGGAACAGTCCAGTTATCCCATAAATAACAATGAAGTCCGGAAGCAAAGAAAAAAAAAGCAAATAAATTCTCTCTTTGACGTCTCCCTTAAAAAAAACGCCGCTTACTCAGTTTTGTCAAAAAAAAAAAAAAATCACACAGATTTCTTCTATTAAACAGAGCGAACTTTCCAAACTCAAAAAATTAAATAAAAAAAAGTTTCTCACCCAACCGACAAACTCTCTCTCAGACCCGTTCTTTCTGGAGCCGCCCCGACTTCAGCAGCATGGGGGCTGCCTCTCCGCCGCCAGCAAAAAGAGCTTCACCCGGGTCTTCCAAGGACACCATTATGAGCAGAAAAGGATTTTTTTTTTTTTTAAGCAGTCCAAATGTTTTCTTAGTCTTTCCAAAGATAGTTAAAGTCCCAAAGTCATTTGCTCTTCCTGGGGGAGAATTCAATTAGATAATTCCAAGACATTTTTTGGAAGTTTGGAAGTTTAATTACAGTTTAGTC